GGAGGGACGGCACAAGAGGGGAAGACCCTCTATGAGATGGATTGATTCAATGACTGGGGTAATTGGGATGGGAGTGTCAGAGGCAGTGCGATTGGCACAGGATAGAGCAGGGTTTAGGGCTGTTGTACATAGGGTCGCTATGGGTCTCAAACGACTTGACGGCACATAGCAACAACAACTAAGAGAGATGCAAATCAAAACAACTATGAGGTATCATCTCACCCCAGTCAGAACAGTGAAATTTAACAGAACAGCAAACAACAAATTCTGGCAAGGGTGCAGAGAAACTGGAACCCTTATTCACTGTTGGTGGGAGTGTAAAATGGTGCAGCCACTATGGAAGGCAGTGTGGTGCTTTGTCAAAAAGTTGCAAATAAAAATACCATTTGACCCAGCAATTCCACTGGGAATTTACCCTAAAGAAACCATAACCACCACCCAAGCAGATATATGCACACGTATGTTTATTGTGACTTTGTCCACAATAGCAAAGAGCTGGAAAAAACCCAAGTGCCCATCAACAAACGAATGGATAGAGAAGCTGTGGTATACTAGGCAACATTGAAAAACAATGAACTCATAAGATATTATGCAAAATGTGTGACCCTGGAGGACAAAATGTTGAGTGAAATATCTCAGTCACAAAAGGACAAATATTGCATAGGGTCACTGTTGTAAAACGGGGCTGACATCAGGGTTGAGGGAGGGCAGAGAAGGAGGGGAGGAATGATGCATACTGCATTGAAACAGATGAGGGAGAGAATTGTGTAAAAGGGATAGATGATTAGGTATCATTGTCATGACAGGAGTCCAGAACGAAGGCTACGCAGTGGAGTGGACTTGGAGGGAGGGACTGCATTAACACTGAAAGAGTTTTTATTTTCTTTTTTTAATTTTTTTAAAATAGCATTCAGTTTATTACAAATGAGTTTTTCTTTTGCTTTTCAAGAAGAATGAGTTGCGTGGGGGAAGCAGGGAGAAACGTGCAACAATGAATAAATGGAAACCCTAAGTCTCTATAAAACTTACATCAAAATTAATAATAATAATAATAATGATGATGATGATGATGAAGTAGTTGGAGGAGACCCCCAGGTAAGAGAAGGAGTAGTGTGGTCTCAGGAATGGATAAAATTAATGAATACAGCATACCATTAAGACCCCCAACAAGGTCCCTCTTATAGACTGGGGATCCTGGGTGCTGGAGGCCAGGTGCTGGTCAGCTGGTGGAGGAAGTGAGAGAGGAAAGGGAAGAGGGCAGGGCAGGAGGGGCTAGAGGAGAGGAGAGAGGGCAGGGGCACTTGTCATGGTATGAAGAGCAGGGAGGACCAAGGGGAACTGGATACGGGAAAGACCGGTTACAAGTGGCATCTTCCGTGTCTTCTAGGTTGCAACACCCCCATGATACATCTTCAAGGATATGAACATGTACAGCCAAGCACAATCAATAAGAGTGCATCTAAATTCCAAAATCAA